GGACCCGGGCCCTCGCGGCGGTCAACAGGGCCAGATCAGGTGGTTTGCGTGATAGCCCGATCGATGGTGGATGAGGGAGGGGCCCTTTCACAGGCCGCCTGTCATTCCAAACCATGGCGGAATCGAGGAGGGGCAGGAGGTGTTGGAGCCAAGTCGTGCATCATGACAGTCATCCGACCGGATCGGTCTTTAGTAAGGGGGTAGGGACCAAGGTAGCCAAGGTAGCTTTGTAGGTAAAGCTGGCTCGTCCACCCCTCTCCGTGCCAAGCACCGAGGGAGGGACGACGGGTGACCGTCACTGTTCCATCCTTGGCAGAGCGAGCCAGACGGCCGAATTTGAAACCTCCTGTCTTTCTGGTGGGAATTGCAAGAGGAGATGTTCCCTCAGGTGTAGTGCACACGGCTCCTCGAATGACTCTGGCGCGGGGCAAAGTCGTCATGCGCGAGGAGAGTTGAGACCAGGCCAGGCCCCGTCTAGGTGTCAATCCCAAACGATCCGCGCGCCGTCTGGAATTCAGACGAGGCCATGCAGACAGACAGTGTACTGTACCGACCGACGTAGTAGGCTAGAGCGAAACAAGAAGCCGACTGCACGCACATGCAAATGGTACCAGCCGGATTGTAGACTTGAATGGGATGACGGCGTAGAGGCAAGTAGCGGTCGAGGGGTCCAGACACCGACGCATGGATAAATGTCGGCCAAGGCAAGTGAATAATAGCCCGCCTGATCCGACGGATAGGCAGGACCTGGAAGCCGGAACAAACGCTCACCGTCCCTTTTCTTTCTTTCTTTGCTTCTCGGTGCTTGGGGCGTCACCTGGGGCGGGCTGGATCCGTGACGGCGCACGCCAGGAACCGGACGGCGTCAGGTCCGCCCGTCGGCAGAGGAGATTCCTTCGCGAGGCTAGCCAGGAGCATTTCGCAAATCGAGGGGTGCAAACCCATTTTGAACAATCAGGGGCACACAGGTACGTGAGCGAGCGGATGAGGAGGGGCCGCGACGGCAGGAGTTGGGGAGAAAAGGAATATGGGCGACATGGCGTCGCTTGGGCGTTGCTGGGCGTTGCTGGGCTTGCTGACTTTGCAGGCTGGCTCGCCCGGGTTCGCGGGAAGGGATGAAAGGAACGGATTCAAGGGATCGATCTTATCCCGTTGCGGGAGGGATTCTGTCGTGCCGGTCTCAGGGTGGAGGGCACGATGGCGTGTATTGTTTCGTTTCATAGGTCTGTAGCCCAGAGAGTCACGGAAGAACAGCTGTGTTGGGTAACGATCTCTAGCGGTGGCACAAGCAGAGGCGGCAGATGAGCACCTTGATCGTTGGGTCTTGACACGTTTGTCGTGCAAAGGTACTTGGGGCTGGGGCGAGCAAACGCTCAGACAGAGGGGTAACTGGCTGGCACGCCAAACGGGCAATACCTAGTGGCGAACACTTGTCAGGCAGTCAGGTTCATCGCAGCGGTGGCTGAAGTATGACTGACAGGCAGGCACGGCGATGATGCCGATGACGGAGCCTGATCGGGGCCGAGGAAGTCACGGCGGCACGACCTATGGCCCATCAAGGACTCGCAAGAGCAACAAACAATCAAACAACAGGTGAGGAGGGATAGACAGCCTTTTGCGAATGTTGCGAATGCCCCCTTGGTTACTCAAATGAACCCCGAATCCCAGGTCAGGCGTGCACGGCGTCAACACAGACGGGCCGAGAGACAACAATGCACAGCCCTGGTGGAACAGCGCGGTCGCGGCGTCGGCGGCCGGTGTTTGTTGTTCGGCGCTGGGCCGGCCTGGCGGCATAGCCATAGCCAATTCCCAAGCAAAGCAATGAATGGCAATCAATGGTTGTTGACGTACAGCTGCCTCTTTGCATGTATGTTTATTCGTAGCGATGCGAGCAAGGCCGTTCTAGCTCTGGTCTGGAATCGACTCGTTTGCAGGAATTGAGGAGAGCATGATTGGTCGCGCCCATGACAGATCGGGCGAACGATTCGCTGACAGGCGGCCACGGGCGATGCAGGCCCCCAAAGGGTCCCGAACGACGGCCTCTCATAGGGCTCAGGAGGCCTGTAGCAGGTTCGGAGACGCCCTCGTCAGGGGGGGTAGAGGGGGCTCGACTGCCACCCCCGTCGTGTTTCACGACCGCTCCCGCCGTGCATCGGCCGCCAATGAGCGTCGTGTACCGCTGGCGCGCTCGTGGGATCGTCTGAAGAGTCGCGCGCCTTTCGCCTCCCGTCTCTCAAAATACCTTACCTTCACGTACCCAAGGCGCCTTACCGTGAGGCCGCGTTGTGGACTCGCGCCGGCCATTCAACGTGCATCCGCCACGCAACCCAGGAGCCAGGAGGGAGTCCCATGAGGGGCTGGTAAGCCTTTCGCTTCGACAGCAACATTCCAGGAAGGGCTCGCCTGCAACCACGACCACTGGCTGCTATGGATCGACTCGCCGCGGCCAAGCCCAGGGCCACAGCCGTCGTGGCCTGTCCAACCCGGGGGAGGTTGGAGGGGGACCTGTTTTGAGACAATTGACGGCATTCATTGGCAGTGAGGGCGCGAGGGTCGCGACACTGACGCTGGTGCTGATCAAAGGACGTCCACAGCTGGAGACACGCACCACCGCCAGGATGACGACCGGCGGGCAACCAGGGACCGGAGGGATATGCCCACCTCAGGCAAGGAGAGAGTTGAGGGTCTGGGAAGTCTACCAAGGGAACAGCATCTAGAGGCGCGCAGAAATGAAATATATCGGATCGCCTTTCCCTCTTGTGGCTCCTCCCTTTCGCTCCTATTGCCTTGATCTCTAGATC